TTAGATTCAAGAAAGAACTATTCTGTAATCCCAGCACTTGAGGGGCTGAGGCAGGAGGATGATTTCGAGTTAGACCAGCCTAGGCTACAAAGTGAACTAAAGGCCAGCCTGAAGTACATATATGCCGTCTTCTTACAAAAAAAAAAAAAAAAAGAAAAAAAGGCCGGGGAGATAGCACAGTAGAATAAGCACTTGCCTGGCAAGTGCAGGATCCTGAGTTCAATTCCCGAAAGATAAAAATAAAGAATCCAGCCACTTCTGACTGAATGAGGCCTTGGGGGGACATCTAGATATAAGGCATAACAGGTCAGGAGTGGGCATCTCAGTCTAGGAGTTTGATTCCAAAACGTGCTTTTTTCCATTTTAGGACGTTCTTTTTTCCCTGGGAAAGGAATGGAGTTCCTCCATTGGGAGGGACAGTTTAGAGTAGTGTCTGCTTGAGTGGACATATCAAAGGTCAGGTTCAGAAATGCTCAGAGAATTGCCAGTGAATGAGCTCCTATACTGCGGTGGAAAAGGCTAGCAGCCCGTGTGCTGCCTCTGAAGGTGCATGTGCAGTTTTGGGTGATTCATGTAGCTGTTGGGACAGCTGGGTGTTCTGTAAAGAGCTGACAGGGCTACGGGGTCTGCGGCTACTTGCCAGCTTTAGTTTATTATTATTATTCTTTTGGCAGAACTGGGGGTTGAACTCAGGCTCTTGCGCTTGCCAGGCAAGCGCTTATTCTACTGAGCCATCTCCCTGGCCCCTCTTGCCAGCTTTATGCCCTTAGATAAATTTCTTTCTTTTTTTCTGTACTCCATCTTCATTTTGTGATTTTTTTTGGTGGTACTGGGGATTGAACTCGATTTTGCACTTACCAGACAGGTGCTTATGCCCCTGAACTATATCCCTGGCCTTAGCTTCATTATAAAGTGGAGACAATATTCACATTTCAACAATGCTAAGATGGAAAAAAAAAATAATAAAGGCTAAGAAAGCACTATCTATCTATCTATCTATATATTTTTTGTCTTTTTGAAACGAGGTCTTGCTTTGTAGTTCAGGCAGGCCTTGAACTCACTTTGTAGCCAAGGCTGTCCTCAAATGTGCAGTGATCCTCCTGCCTCCGTGTCCCGAGTGCTGAGATTATAGGTATATGCCACCATGCCCAGTTTCTACTGTCCTAACATTTTATTTTTGAAACATCTTAGAGCTGTGGGTCTTATGCTTGTGGTTTTTAGTAGCTCCTTTTCTGATTCATAACCGCATGCCTTATAACCAATGGTCTTATATTAGGTGAACTAGAGAGTACTTTTTGTGTGTGTGTGGTACCAGGGATTGAACTCAGGACCTTGTACTTGCCAGGCAAGTGCTTGTTCTACTGAGCTATCTCCCCTGCCCAAGAGTACATAATTTGTAGGTCGTTTTGCAGATTAAGTGAGGTTACTACTATCCCAGGAGTATGATGAGCACCCAATAGCAGGCCCTGCCACTGAATGACAGAACAGCTAACTGGCTTGCGACTCTGAGGTAAATCTGCAGAACATCTGGGGGCTTCCACTCGGAGCCCAGGCAGTGCTCCGCCATCTGTGGGCTGGAGGAAACCTTCCAGTGTGCCTAGAGTTCTGTCCTTTGACTGACTCTTGTCCCCACGAGAAGCATTAACTTCAGGAACCAATGAGCCATGGACAGATAGCTCCCTTTGTCCTCTGTATTCATTAAAGTCTTCGTCAACTTAGAAATCCCAAGTTAAAAATAAATATCGATATAAAAAGACTAGAAAGCGAGGCTCATGTGAACATTCCTACATGTAAGTTTTCAAGTGATTCCAGTTTATATAAAAGATTGTGCTCCTGCTTTTCAGACTAGTCCTTAAGGGCTCTGCATGCAGTGTCAGTGAGACACTGTGAATGAGATAGAGCATAGGAGGTCTCAAAGTGGAAGCCCTTGAGTGGCCGTGGGCAAGGTGAAGCAGAGCCCTGGACTTGGTGCCTGGAGTTCTGTCCATGGACACGGTGCCTCGCCTCGCCTCTGTGGTCTGTATGGGTCTCTCTGTTTTTTTTTTTTTTTGTATTTTTAGGGAAGGGTCTATAGCGTGTTCAGGGTCTCACTACTAGATCGGACTCATAGTGATCCGCCTGTTTACAGCCTCCCAAGAGCTGGAATTGCAGGCTCGGCCACCATGCCCAGTCTCAGTTGGCCCGGGGATTGAACCCTGGCCCCTGCACCTGCTTGCAGCTGCTTTAATCTGCTGAGCTATTTGCCCGGCCCAATGTATGGGTCTCTTCTAAAGAGAGGACTTCAGTCTTAGTTACCTGACCACCTCACCCCAACACAATTGCACAGAGTAAATGAGGTTTTGACTAAGAATATGAGATAGGGATCAATTAATTGAAGGGAAATTACTTAATTCAAGACAGAGTCTCCTTTGAATGTTTGTGATTGAGCTTTGTGAAGCAGAAAACAAACAGGTGATGACAGTTCACAGCTGTCATTTATAGAGAATTGCCAGATGTGGGGTACTGTCCCTGCTCCCCCTTTCACCTCCCTGCACGGCCATTCTAGGGATCAAATCCAGGGCTTTGTGCCTGTTGGAAAGCTGAAGTTCAGAAGCGTTGAATGACTTGAGCAGGATCACACAGCAAGAGCAACCCTCATCACTGGGGTTAGAACTCAGGCTTCTGTTGTTTCCCAGTAGGAGTTTCACAGTGGCTGTAGGAGGGCCCAGCCTCATCTTGGAGTTAGGAGCCTCGAGCTCTACACTGGGAGCTTTCCAGGTAAAAAAAAAAAGGTTCCTCTGCTTTGTGGTGAGAAATATCTAGCCTGTTACTGCGTACAAGCACCTGTAGAAATTTTGAGTTAAGGAAACCTAAAGAATAATTCTTCCTAGTGTTGCAGGAGACTTAAGTCTTTGAAAGGAAAGGTTGTTCTTTGGTTAAAAAAAAAAAAAGAAAAGCTATTGCCGATTGCCAGGTTCACTGATCAGAAACAAGAGTTCTGAGAGAAGAATCTGCCCCTCCTTCATGGACGCTCATAGGGTGGGAAACCTGGGTGGGTTTTGAGGTAGTCAGGTGGCTTTCGTATGTTGGATTTGCCTGGAATACTGGTTTTACCGGCTTTCCCCTAAGAAGATTATTGGAACCAAAGCATTGAGCAGCTTTCTACTCCCTAGCTTATCCTAAGGGTTGAGAACAGTAAGGGTAAGGGGAGCTTCTTCAGTCATAAGTTTATTTGGGATTTGAGATTAAAACCCATTCTTTGGATTGCTCCTTCCTATAACCTAGGGGCCTGGCCCTAGCTCAGTTCTTTAAGTGGCTGCTTCGGCAAAGCTTTCAGCCTCAGGTTGCTGGAGTTCGATCCCCACAACACTCCAGCCGCCAAACCACCCCTGAGGGCATTCGGAGAAAAAAAAAATCCTTATTCCTATAACCTTTCAGAGCCACAATATGCATCCTGTTAGTCTTGTTTTCTTGAAAAGGTTTTTTTTTTTTTTTCATATATATATATTTTAGGACAGGGTGTTCAGGGTCTCACTACAGAGATCAGACTCATAGTGATCCTCCTGTTTTCAGTTTCCAGAGCACTGGGATTACAGGTGTGCACCACCATGCCCAGTCTCAATCTCCATCTTCAGTGCGCCCCTGGGCCGGGGCTGGCATGGCAAGCTGGGGATTGAACCCAGGCTGCTTGCACTCTGTCTAAGCAGGGGCTTTAGTCTGCTGAGCCCTCGTTTCTTTCTTTTATGTAATGCATGTATGTATGTATGTGTATATGTATGTGTATGTCTTTTTGAGACAAGGTCACACTGTGCAGCTCAAGTTGGTCTTGAGCTCACTTTGTAGCCCAGGCTGGTCTGGAACTTACAATGATTCTTCTGCCTCAGCCTGAGTCCTGGGATTACAGATGTGCATCACCACACTCAGTTTAATGCTGTCTTTTAAGCAGTATTCTTTTTTGGATTTATGAGACAGGGTCTTGCTGTGCAGTTTAGGCTGGGTTTGGACTTAAGGATTTAGCCCAGGCTAGGCCTGAACTCATGATTCTCCTGCCTCTGCCTCCCAAATACAGGCATATGCCACCGTGCTCAACTCACGAAGCAGTATACTTAGATGTAGTAGTTATCATTTTTAAAAATGTATTTATTTATTTGGTACAGGTTCTTGCTACATAGCTCAGACTCATAGTGGTCCTCCTGTCGGCTTCTCCAGCGCCGGGGTTGTGT